CAATCGTTCATCCCACTGCTATTCCTCCAATGGCCAGCCAACCAGAAAGAACACCTAACGAACAAATTGTCCAAAGAAGTGATGGACGTCGAACCGGCCGACTCCTGGATGACACCAATACTCAAATACTTGGAACATAATGAGCTCCCAACTGACAAGGGTGAAGCGTGTTGCCTAAGAACGAAAGCCACAAAATTCATCATATAAGAGGGCCAGCTACTTAGGAAGTCGTTCTCTGGCCCCTACCTTAAGGCCATAAGCCTAGAAAAAGCCAAGTGGGTTCTCGCCGAACTGTATGAAGGTGAATGTAAAAGTAATGTAGGAGGACGCAGCCTTGCCCAGCAGGTGATCACTGCTGGCTATTATTGGCCAACCATATGCACTGACTCAGCAACCTACGTGAAGAAATGTGACAACTGTTAGAGATTCGCCCACGTCTCACACTTCCCACCTAATAGACTTTACTTCACCCTCACAACTTGGCCATTCATGAAGTGGGGAATGAAAATAGTCAGAAAACTCCCGACCACAGCTAGGCAACCAGTCTTCATGTTAGCGGTCAGCAACTACTTTACTAAATGGATCAAAGCTGAAGCACTCGCCCAAGTCAAAGACTGAGAGGTAAAAGCCTTAATCTTGAAACATGTTATCTACTGATTTGGAATACCGAAGGAAATAGTCACTGACAATGGATGCCAATACATTAGTTTAGGCTTCAGAGACTTCTGTGACATCTGAGGGATCAAGCTCAGCTTCTCCACCCCCTGCAACCCCTAATTAAATGGCCAGACTGAGTCATCGAATATAACAATCATGCAAACTTTAAAGAAGCACCTCCAAAAAGCCAAAGGCGTATGGGAAGACGAACTACCCAAGGTCCTCTGGTCCTATCGGACAACAGCCCGCTTGTCCACGGGCGAAACTCCTTTCTTCCTCACATATGGATTTGAAGCAGTCATCCTAGCTGAAGTATTGGTCCCCTCAACCAGACTCCAATGGTCAGACGAAGAAACCAACAACCAGAACCTTTGTCACAACTTGGACATAGTCGAAAAATTATACGAGCGGGCGAATATCCGCAACGCAACCTACCAGCAGCAAGCCGCTCGACATTACAACCGTAATGTCCAAGTCAGGACTTTCAAACCAAGCGACTGCGTCCTCCGCAAAGTCTTTCAAAACAGTAGGGAGATCAACTCTGGCTAGCTCGGTCCCACCTAAGAGGGTCCCTACAAGATTGCCAAGGAAGTAGGGAAGGGGGCCTGCAGACTCCAAAGCCCCGAGGGCAGGGACATCAGCAACAATTAGAATGCAATCCACCTCAAAGGTTACTATTTCTAGTCAGACTTTCTCATCGACATTTCCGTTTTCTTATTTTTGTTTTTCAAAAAAGGATGAATGGGCCTGCCCACCTCCTTCATCGTCATTCGGCCTCATGCCTGAATTCAACAAAAGAACTATTTAGAGATAGAGCAGCGTACACCTTTAATCGGCCAAGACCGATTCATCGACTTACACCTTCAATCGACTCAGACCGATTTATCGACATCCACCTACGATAGGCTTAGACCGACTCATAAAACTCACATATTCTATCAGCTCAGACCGATTCATTGACTTGCATTTTCAATCAGCCTAGACTGATTCATTGACTTACACCTTCAATCGGTCTAGACCGATTCATCGACTTACACCTTCAATCAGCTTAGACCGATTCATCGACATACACCTTCGATCGGCTCAAACCGACTCATAAAACTCACATATTCTATTGGCTCAGACTGATTCATCAACATACACCTTCGGTCAGCTCAGACCGATTCATCGGCTTATACCTTCAATCGGCTCAAATTGATTCATTGACTTACACCGTTGGACGGCCCATACCGACCTAGCAACTCAGTGGCTTACACATCCAGCTGACGTCACCAACACAACACCACAACACTGGTGACTCAACCACTTGGTCTTGTCCATATCACAGCATAAGTAGTCGGTTCAACCCCCATATAGTTACAAACAATCAAGCAATCAATTCATTCATCCACAAATTTAAGGGTTAAGAGTTAAGTAAATAGATATTTTTCAGTTACAATAAACAACTATCACAAATTTTATTATTGATTTCAACTAAATGAGGGCTAAGGTTGCATTTTCCAAACTAGCTAGCGCATCTTGTTATTTCATTAAATATATGGGATTTACTGAAAAATACCCTTTAGAATCGATAGGTCCAAAACTATCTTGCAAATTTAAAGTAGTTAGTTGATTGATGGTACCTTATCATTAATTGATTTCTGATTACCGTACAAATTTAAAAAAAAATTCGCAGAGTTCGTTGATGATGGTACCCTACTATTAATTGATTTCTGATTACCGTACAAATTTATAGAAAATTCAAAGGAGTTAATTAATCGATGGTACCTTACCAAGTGAATTTCTGATTACCGTACAAATTTAAAAAAAATTCAAAAGAGTTAGTTGATTGATGGTAGTTTTACTATATACTCCCTCAGTTTTTTTTTTTTTTTTAAAATATCAAGCGTAAATTTTTTTCAAATTAAATGATATTGTTTTATCTTTGTCCCACATCTTTATTTTCAATATTTTTTTTTTATGACCTACATCTTCTATCCCTCTCTTTATCTTATCTCTTCTTCTCAATCTCCTTTATTCTGGCAATATATATATTAAATTATTTAAATAACCCGTATGCAACGGGATAAACAAACTGCAAAATTGAAAATGTTGTGCGCAAGTGAAATTATGTAGAAACTTAAATCGTGAGGAGGGAGTAATTGATTTCTGATAACTCGAGAGAAAAGGCTGAAAACATTGGTATAAGTGTTATGCAACCAGTTAATTTTTTCTGAATACTTGTGAGAAACAGAGCTGGAAAACATTGATTTTACACTACGATTGATGTTGACTACTGAGCATTAAATGAGTTTATATTCCACGATCTGCAAGTCTTTGGTTGATTGCTGTGCCTTATTCTATTTTATTTTTTTCATCTTTTCCCCGAAGTTGCCTGCCTTTTTCTATTTTATTTTCCATCTCTTTTCCTCGAAGTTGCCTGCCTTTTTTTTGCTTTCCTTTTTCACCAGACCTATAATTGCATTCCTAACAAGCAACTAATGAGCCATTCATATTTGATGAGATTGTATTGCAAAAATTCATTAATTCACACACAAGAAATTCCTCAATGAGGGTTCACATTTGTAACACATAGTTCTAGGGTAATAAACAATGATCAAATAATTTAAACACCCCGCCCCCCCCAAAAAAAGTCTGTTCAAGAAAATTTAACCATTTTTTGTGAAATTGCTAACAAACCGTTCTACATTGAGTCTCAACAAATTGAAAATTCTATTGTAGAACTGTCGGCAGAAATGAAGTCAAAAGAGATGGAAAAATTTGATATCTTCTAATAAGTTCATCTTCATCAATGAAAGTCTCAATTATTTTCTGACACAAGGCTTCATAAATATGGCTAGTAAAATTGTCATGGTGGTCCTCAACTCTGAAAATAATTAAGAAAATGATGATACTTTAGTCGGGCAATAGTGGAAGAAGAAAAAGAAGCCATTAACTTTCCACAAATGACAGTCAGTTCACATTGGCAAAAACATAGAGAGCTAAACCAAGACAGCATATAATTGAGTATTTGCTGTAAGCATTTCAGCTTTAATTATCTCTTTTCCTAAAAGATGCCTTGCCTTTTTTTATTTTTTGACCAGACTTATAATTGCATCCCCAACAAGCAACTTATTGGAGAATGGTTGCTGTTATTATTATTGGTACAGTTGCAGATTGTAATTAGTTACAACTAGCTTAGTTAAGTTTGTTACGGCTAGTCAAAGTCATCATGTTGACTATAGTTAATCAGTTGTTAATCATGGTTAGTAGTTAGAGTTAAGTTGTACTACTTGGATAAAAGGACTTCGATCCTTTCTTTGTAAAGTGAGGCTGATATTCATAAAATAATGTTCCTTTTCTTTTTGGCTCTCTCTTCTTTGTTCTTTTCACAACAATTGAACCATTCACATTGGTTTTTTTTTTTTTTTTTTTTTTCTTAAACACATCTTGAACATGACCTATATATAATTTAGATGGTTTGCTCCCTGTTAAAAAAAAAAAAAAAATGTGACCTATTACTATTAATATTATTTTTTTTCAGGAAATGCCCAGAATAAACAAACCAACAGTGTTTCCAAAAAAAAAAAAAAACACAGTGCTAAGTAATAAAGATAGGAATGACAAAGAAGAGTAATTAATATATGGCGTATACAAATTGAAAGTTCGACTGATACACAGCTGAAAACGCACTAAAGCAAAGCAACATTCAAACATCTATTGGAGTAAAAATCTCAAAGCTGCTTCAAAATCCTCTAATTTGATTGTAAGCAGTTCATCCCTGTCTGCACAATCATCACTAAGCCTAAGATTCAGATTCCCCTTGGCATTATTTAACATTATATCCACTAAACCCTCCATTCATTTTCATACGTTGCTTTTCCGTTGTTACCTCTCTATTAGCTCTGCAATGACACTGCCCTACAAGAAGAATGTAATTTAAACCCATGTAACAAGCATCTTCCGCTTGATTTTTCATCTTGATATGGAGAACATTAGCTAATTCTTCACAACTTAGATCTTCAAACTTAAAAATGTTAGTAACCCTTGTGCTAAAACCTTCATTAGAAGATATTACACGTTGCATTGCTTCATTGTAGCCAGCAAATATGACTAAAACTTTTCCTTGTCCATACAAGACATGATCTCTTCTAAGGCTTCTAACCCAAAGTCACTAGGAATGCGTCCTCTGGCATTAGTCGATATGCTTCATCCACAAAAAGAATACCTCCCTCGGCTTCTTTGATCTGTGCATGAAATTAATTTTTTTTTGGTTAAAATAAACCCTAAAAGCTATATATGTTGGTAAGATATTATACATTTTGAAATATAAAAAGGTAAAGAAAGGATACAAGTCCATCAAATTATTTTCATTTTTTCGATTAATAAACTTCTGGCTATGTCGAACATATGATATAGAAAGCAAAGTGGTGTACCATCTCCCTAGTCTTATAACCAGTATGACCAATATATTCACCAACTAAATCTGTCCATTGAACTTCTTTTACATTGTCAGTTTGCAAAATTCCCACACCATGGAGTAGTCTTCCAAGGATTCGAGCCACCATAGTCTTACCTATCCAATATGAAACAATCATTTAATTTTGTTAAGATTCAAGTTGGTATATGGGATGAAGCTTAGTTAGTTAGAAATCTGTTATGCTGAGCTGTAAATAGCAATGTAACAGACTCTCTTTAATCAATAAGAATTCTTTCTTTTCACATTACTTGCCCCCAAATTAACATGGTATTAGAGCTACGATCCCAGGGCTTTGAGATTCTAAAAATTCGTTGAAAACTTCACTCTGTTCATCAATAATTTTCAAACTGTTTATTAGTTTCTTCTACATTGTTTTCCTATTTCGCCAGCTTCGTCAGCTTCTTCTCCTCTAGATTTCATTTATTGGAAATTTCTTCTCTGATCTCATTTTCTCTGATCAAGAAGTTATCATCTTCATTCTTCCAAAATGGCAGCTAATAGTGCAGATGAAGAAATGCAGTCTTCTGCGAATAATGCAAATGATCAATCAAGTTCATCAATCGATTTCAGTCATCAACTTTGCCTACATCCTTCTGATACTCTAGGTGCTGTTCTTGTCTCTTTTCAATTGATTGGTGGAGATAATTACTCGTTATGGAGTAGATCTATGAGAATTTCACTATTAGCCAAAAATAAGATTGGATTTATTGATGGAACTTGCACAAAGGATAGTTTTCTAGTTAGCTTGCACAATCAATGGGATAGATGTAATGCTATAGTTCTCTCCTGGATCATGAATTCAGTTACTAAAGAACTTTTAAGTGGCATTGTTTATGCCTCCAGTGCACATTTGGAATGGAAAGATTTAAAAGAAAGATTTGATAAAGTGAATGGATCTAGAGTTTTCCAGTTGCATAGAGAAATTGTCACCTTAGTGCAAGGAACTTCATCTATTTCCACTTATTTCTCTAAACTAAGAATGTTATAGGATGAATACTCGTCTATTGTCCAGCTTCCTTCATGTGAGTGTTCTATGTCAAAGGTCTACGTAGATCACATGCAGAATCAAAAGTTACTCCAATTCTTGATGGGATTAAATGAAACTTACTTGCATGCTAGAAGCCAAATCCTCATGATGCAACCTTTACCATCTATCAACCAAGCCTATTCTATGCTCGTCACTGAAGAGAGCCAAAGAAGTTTAACCAATGCAGTTGTTGTTGGATCCTCATCTGAGCAGACAGTACTCTATTCTTCATCAAACCAACAATCAATTAAACCTAAAAAGAATTGGAATATAACTTGTGAACATTGTCATGTGAAGGGACACAAAAAGGATAATTGTTATAGAATCAATGGCTATCCTACTGATTTTAAGTTCACCAGAAGAAAGAATCCTACTCAGTCCTCAGCAAATAACGTTACCACTACTGAATCATCTTATCACAGTAGTTCCACATCCACTCTAAATAATACTCAAGCAGTTCCAATCTTTTCTAAAGAGCAATATGCAGAGATATTGAAATTGCTCCAAAAGGAACTTGCATTACCTCCAATTGATGCACATGTTAATATGGCATGTATTCACTCTTATTTTTCATCCTTAGATCATGGAGTTTGCTGGACATTAGACACAGGTGCTAGTCACCATATGACAGCTTCTTTAAACGCTTTGAACAAATTGATGGGGACAGTTTCTCCTTCCACAGTTAGACTACCCAATAGACATCATTCAACCGTAACACATATTGGATCTTGTAACATTGGTCCAGATCAGAAACTGACTAATGTATTATTTGTGCCAGATTTCAAGTTTAATTTGATTTCTATATTAAAGCTCACCAAAGACTTATCTTGCTTTGTCATTTTCTATCCTGATTTCTGCATATTTCAGGGCCTCTCCAATGGCAAAATACTGGGGATTGGTAAAGAATCGGAGGGTCTCTACTTCTTCATGCCTTCTCATGCATCAAAGGCTAATACTTCTGCTTTGAATAAAACATTATCTATTTCATGTTTAGCTTCTGTAAGCCAGCTTTGGCATAAACGTCTTGGTCATGTGCCATATGCAAAACTGATAAATTTTTTTGGAATAAGAAATTTTAATTCTGATAATGCTGAGTCTCATTGTGATATTTGTCCTCTTGCCAAACATATAAGAAAGCCTTTTCCTATTAGTACTATAAGAGCTCCTGCATGTTTTCATTTGCTACATATGGATGTATGGGGACCATATCATACTCCTATACATAATCATCATAAATTCTTTCTTACAATAGTTGATGATCATTCCTGGGTTACTTGGGTTTTTCTCATGACAAATAAGCATGAAGTTATAGTTCATATTAAGAGCTTTCTTACTCTTATCAAGAATCAGTTCTCAGCCTCTATCAAGACTATTCGAACAGATAATGGCTTAGAGTTTCTCAACTCTCAATGCTCTGCACTCTTCACTTCACTTGGGATTATTCACCAGAAAACTTGTATATATACGCCCTAGCAGAATAGGGTAGTAGAAAGGAAGCATAGGCATTACTTAGTGTTGGTAGAGCCTTGAGATTTCAGGCCTCCATTCTAATTAAATACTGGGGAGAATGCATACTCACAGCTTGCTATATCATCAATAGACTTCCTACTGATGTGCTTTAAGGCAGTTCACCTTATGAAGTTCTCTTTGGTTCTCCTCCTTCTATTGATCACTTCAAGGTGTTTGGGTGATTGGCATATGCCTCTAATCTAAGCTCCAGAGATAAATTTGGTTTCAAGGCTATACCATCAGTTTTTATGGGATATTCTTCAACACAAAAAGGATACAAGTTGCTAAACCTACAAGATTTCAGCTTCTTTGTCAATCAAGATGTCAGATTTATTGAGGACATATTTCCCTTTCAGTTCCAGCAACATTCTCATGTTCCATTATTTCCAAGTGATCCTTTCACTACCACATTTTATGATGACTCATTTCCTGCTCCTATCAATTCTGACACTTCTGACCAACCATCACCATATTACAATTTCAGTCCTAGTCCTGCTACTGATCTTGCCCTTGATGTTCCTTTAATTGACTCCACATCAACATCTTTAGCTTCAGTACCTACTCCTGATGTCCCTTTAAATATCAGACGTTCTGCTAGATCACACAGACCTCCAATTTGGTTGCGGGATTATGTCACCCCTTCAGATCATTACTCCATTTCAGATGCTGTTTCTTATGGTCATCTTTCTCCATATTACAGGTGTTTCCTATCATCCATCTCTAAGATCAAAGAACCTATTTCATTTGCTGAAGCTTCTCAAGATCTTAATTGGATTGCTGCGATGCAAACTGAGATCAATGCCTTAGAAGCTAACAAAACTTGGTAGCTTGTTCCTCTCCCAGCAAGCAAGCAGCCTATTGGCTGCAAATGGGTCTACAAAGTCAAATACAATTCTGATGGTACTTTAGAAAGATATAAAGCCAGGCTTGTGGCCAAGGGCTACAACCAACAAGCTAGCATAGATTACACAGAAACCTTCTCCCCGGTGGCAAAGATGGTCACAGTCAGATCAGTCCTTGCATTAGCTTCAATTCATGATTGGCCACTCTTCCAACTTGGTGTGTTTAATGCCTTCTTGCAAGGGGATCTTCATGAAGAGGTTTATATGTCTTTACCTCAAGGATTTGGCACTCAGGGGGAGAACAGAGTCTGCAGATTGCTCAAATCCTTGTATGGATTGAAGCAAGCAAGTAGACAATGGAATCACAACCTTACTGAAGCTTTGATAAAAAATGGCTACTTGCTTGCTTCAACAACATAGTCATTATGCTTGTCTATGTTGATGATATTTTGATAACAGGGAGCTGCATTAAGATGATAGACCAGTTGAAGGTTATACTGTAGGATAATTTCAAAATCAAAGACCTTGGTCACCTTAAATACTTTCTTGGAATTGAAGTTGCTAGGTCCTCTGAAGGGATTGTTTTGAACCAGAGAAAATATGCATTGGAATTAATTTCGGAGGCTAGATTATCTGCTACAAAACCTGCTGACACTCCTCTTGAACAAAATTTAAAACTGACTTCATATGAGTTTGATCAAAAATTTCCATTAGATCAAAAGGATGAATTGCTGATAGATCCTAGCATGTTCAGGAGAATGGTGGGAAGGTTATTATATCTAACCATGACTAGGCCTGATATTTCGTTTGCTGTCCAGAATTTAAGTCAACATATGCAGACTCCTAAACAATCACATTTGGAAGCAACATTAAGAGTTATAAGATACGTGAAAAAGGAACCAGCTCTTGGGTCGTTTATGCCCGTAAAAAAGTACAAAAGATTTAATAGCATTTTGTGATTCAGATTGGACCTCTTGTGTTGTTAGTAGGAAATTAGTGTCAGGATACTACATCAAGATGGGAGATTCTCTTCTGTCTTGGAAATCAAAGAAGCAAAATACCATAGCAAGATCATCTGTAGAAGTAGAATATGGAAGCATGGCTGGAACTATTGCAGAACTAGTTTGGTTAACTGGTTTACTTAAAGAACTTGATGTTGAAGCCAAAATCCCGACGTTACTTCACTATGATAATAAATCAGCATTACAAATTGCAGCAAAACGAACAAAACACATACAGATAGATTATCATTTTATAAGAGAGAAAATTCAAAGTGGTTTGATCATTACGAAATACATACCAACTGGAGAACAGTTAGCAGATGTGATGATGAAAGGGTTGGGAAGGTTACAGCATGAAAAGCTTCTGTCTAAGTTATGCTTGAAAAATGTTCATAAGATGCCAACTTGAGGGGGAGTGTTAAGATTCAAGTTGGTATATGGGAGGAAGCTTAGTTAGTTAGGAATTTGTTATGCTGAGCTGTAATTAGATGAAGTAGTTAGAGGTAGTTAGTTGACAGTTATAAGTTTATTTCTTTGTATATAAATAGCAATGTAGCAAACTCTCTTTAATCAATAAGAATTCTTTCTTTTCACATTACATGCCCCCAAATTAACAAATTTGATAAGGAAACAAAATATTCTAGTAGCAATTTTAACTGAAAAGGTAAAGATAAAGTAAGCAGCAATTTTACCTGCTCCAGGATTCCCTAGAAATGCCATGTGAGGAAGTTTTCCAGCAGTGCCGATTTCAAGTCCAATGGCCTTGCGCCTCTCATTCAAAAGAAGGCCCTTTTGCCCATTTTCGAAGTTGCATCTTGAGTTCATCCAAACCCACAATATTTGATAGCTCTTTTTCGAGGGCATTTATCTTTTGTTTTTGCTTGCTGCATGCTTCAAGTAATTTTTTCTTTTGTCGTTCTTGTTGATGAGAAAGTAATAAATCACGCAACTTCCCACTTTCTTGTTATTTATTTATTTTTATTTTTTTGTTGTAAGTTACCTTGCCTTTTTCTATTTCATTGTTTTCATTTTTGTTCGCATTAAACAAAGATGGCCGGCCAAAAATCTTAAAAACTCTCAATCATAATTCAAAAGGGTTACCATTGATCCAAAAGGACCAAAACCATCTATTTATCTTTCTTTAAAAATTTAATTTGCCACTCCTTCTCCACCCAACCCACAACCATCTTCCACCACAACCAGCCTATTACAATTCATATTTAAAAATTCAATTTGCTATTATTTTATTTTACTTTATAGTAATCATGTTCTTATTAATTTTACTTAGTGCAGTGAAGTTAGTCATTGTATTCACAGACACATGGCCAACATTTTGTTATGGGTCTTTTACAGATTCGTAAAGATTCATAACCTATTGAATCATCAATTTTAATACAAAACAAAGTGTATTTTGTTTTTGTTTTATTTTGTTAAATGGACTTGGATAGAAGCCACTCCCAAAAGTTAGCTCAGGAAATGAAGGAGTCCAATCACATATATAGAGTTTATCTTGATAAATAGGTTTAGATGAACTCACTCTAAAAAGTTAGTTCAAGAGAAAAAGGAGTTCAACCACATATATACATCATAATAATCCACCAACATGGTAATGGAGGATAATTACAACTTATAACATATTAATATGTTATAACATATTGACCAGCCAGTCAGGATATGTAATACACTCTAAAATTGAGGAAGATAAAACTAAGGTAGAGTTCCTTAGGTTGTACCTGAACCTGAAAACCTGTGCATGGATTAGACTTGCTGCTTTCAAAGTTTTGTTTTGTTGTTCTATTGATTAACTTTGGTCGTGTGTTAAACTCTCATTTTTTATTTTCTTTTAGGAAAGGTGATTGTAGTGACTAATTAGGGTTTTCAGCTATACTGATCAAATCAATCAATGAGCTAACACAATCTTATCAATCAACAAGCAATCAAATAAGAGATTAAGAAAAGCATGAAATAATAGAAAAGAAAATTGACACAGGGGATTTATAGTGGTTCGGCTAAGGTAGCCTACATCCACTCTTCAAGGCACACTATAGGGTATTTTATTACTCAAGGAAACCAAGATTACAGAGAGTATACAACCAGGAAAAACAAGAAAGAATACACCCAAAATATCCCTCTGAAAACTCTGCTTTTCTTTAGCACAATAGATCTGATTTTATACAGATCAGGACTCCATTGATCATCCTCCAGCTGTCCAGTATCATCAACAGTTTGTTAGAGAAGAGGAGCAGTAGAATCTTCTGTCGCTAGGGCTGAGAAGGAACCAAAGAGAGCATGAGGTGAATTGTGCATTATGTTGCAACAAACTAGAATTCAGGTGCCAGATAAGGCACTTAAGTCTGATAGCTGAAACACTGTCATATTGGTTTAATGTTGAAGTTGATTTCTTTGATTGATGCTGACTCCACCGTGGCATACACAAGCCACATCATCATCACAATTCTCCACCTTGGCTTGTGAATTGACACCCTAAGTGGCCTTGGCAAAGCTGAATTATGCTTGAACATGTAATAGGCTCATACAGAGCCTATGCTTATCTTAGTGACTGGTTTGGTGAGCATGTCAGCAGGGTTGTGAGTGCCTCTTGTCTTCTCAATCTTGACTTCTCCTTTTTCAATCAATTCTCTGATGAAATGCATTTTAACATTTATGTGTTTCGTCCTCTCGTGGAAGACTTGGTTCTTGACAGATATATTGCACTCTGATTGTCACTTTTGATCTCCACAATTTTCTGTTCCAGCTCCAGTTCATTCACAAAACCCTTGAGCCATACTGCTTCCTTTGATGCTTCTGTCAAAGCTACATATTCAGATTCCGTTGATGAGAGAGTAACCATTTGTTGAAGCTTTGATTTCCAGCTAATCATATTTCCCCACAGTGTAAAAACAAATCCTGAAGTGGACTTTCTCTTATCAAAGTCCCCTGCATAATCAGCATCAACATAACCTCTAATGCAGTATTTTTCTTCCTTGTTCTTACTAAAAACTATGCCCACAGATTTTGATCCTTGTAAATATCTCAGAATCCATTTAAGTGCAGACCAATGAAGTCTTTCCGGATTGCTCATGAATCTACTTACTAAACTCACAAAGGATGCCAGATCTGGCCTAGTACAAACCATTAGGTACATGAGGCTACCCAGGGCATTTGCATATGGAATGGTGGACATTTCCTTTTGCTCTTCTTCTGTTTTCGGGCACTAATCGTGAGAAAGCTTTATGTGCTGCCCTAGGGGAGTTTGGACAGCCTTAGCATTCTGCATATTGAATTTCTGCAGAATTTTCTCTGTATATTCTTCTTGAACTAGCCTCAATCTTCCCTGCATTCTGTCTCTTATAATGGTAATACCAAAAATCTTTTGAGCCTGACCCAGCTCCTTCATTTCAAACTTGGTATTGAGAATTTTCTTCAATTGAATAATCTCAGTTTTGTCATGGCAAGCAACCAACATGTCATCCACATAAAGCAACAAGTAAGTATAAGTCAAATCATAATTTCTTTTAAAATAAAAACGGCTATCAAATTGACATCTCTTAAAACCAATTTCAATAATAAAAGAATCAAATTTCTTGTACCACTGTCGTGGTGATTGTTTTAGGCCATAAAGAGATTTTCTTAGAAGACAAACTTTACCTGCTGGTCCTGAATATCCCTCTGGCTGCTCCATCAAAATATTCTCTTCCAAGTCACCATGTAAAAAGGTTGTTTTTACATCCAGTTGCTTCAGTTCCAGATTGAACTGTACAACCAGAGAAATCAGAATTCTGATTGATGCATGCTTTACAACTGGGGAGCATATTTCATTGTAGTCTATGCCTTCCACTTGAGTAAATCCCTTTGCAACCAGTCTAGCCTTATACCTAGGTGGATCTTTTGAGGTTAGACCTGGTTTCCTTTTGAAAATCCACTTGCACTTAACCACCCTGCAGTTTTCTGGTTTATCAACTAGGGTCCAGGTATTGTTTTTCATTAAGGAACTAAGTTCATTCTCGATGGCCCTTTTCCACTCAGTTTTATCAGGTCCTAGAATTGCTTCCTGAAATGTTTTTGGCTCATCATTCAATTACTGTTCTACTTGAAGTGCATAAGCTACCAGGTCAGCATATCCTAATCTATTAGGAGGTTTAATGGCTCTCCTGATTCTATTCCTAGCTAGCTGATAGTTTGTCAAGTCTAGTTCTAGTTCTTTTTGGTCTTCTGGCTCATCCAATTCATCTGTATTAGGATTTTCAGGATTCTCCTCTGTCTCATCAACTCCACCTTGATGATTAGTAACTACATCCTGAATTTCCAGTTCTAAAAGATCTAATCCTAAGTCACTATCAACTGATTTTGATCCTGAGTCACTATCAGCTGATTTTCCAGGTTCACATTCTAGTTTAGGAAGGACCTCTTGCCTAAAAACCACATCCCTACTGATTATACAGTTCTTGGTTTCTAGATTCCAGAACTTGTAACCTTTTACTCCCTTTGGATATCCAAGAAACAGGCACTTTACAGCTATAGGTTTTAGCTTGTCATCCTTTACATGAACATAAGATAGACACTCGAAAACTCTTAAGTTGTCCAGCTTTATTGGATGTCCAGTCCATTTTTCTAAGGGCACCTTGAAAACTATGACAGATGAAGGGGTTCTATTAATCAAATACACCATAGTATGTGCACCTTCTGCCCAGAATTTTACAGGTAGCTTAGAGTTTGACAGGATGCTCCTAACTTTGTCTAGGATGGTCCTATTCATTCTTTCACAGAGGCCATTCTACTGTGGGGTATTTCTAACAGTTTTATGCCTAACAATTCCATGGTTTTTACAGAAACTATTGAATTCATCATTCACAAACTCAAGACCATTATCCGTCCTAAGCCTTTTAAGTTTCTTCCCAGATTGAGTTTCAACCATTATTTTCCATTCCTTAAACCTAAGAAATGCCTCATCCTTAGTCTTCAGAAAATATATCCAGACATGCCTAGAATAATCATCCATAAAACTAATGAAATACCTACAGCCCCCTAGTGAGTAGTGTCTAGCTAGTCCCCATACATCTGAGTGAACATACTCAAGTGGTGAGCTTGAGTAATGCTTACAAGATCCAAATTTTACCCTGCACATTTTGCAAAAAATACAGTGTTCACAGAAGGTTAAATTTCCAGTTTGATCCCCTCCTAACAGGTTCTGTTTACTCAACTCATCTAACCCTCTTTCACTAACATGTGCCAACCTTTGATGCCACAGTGAGGTTTTATCCTGTGTTACTAGAGACCCTACAGTAGCTATGCCATAATTTGTCCTACCCTTTAACACATAGAGACCATTTTTCTTTTCACCTTTCATCACTATTAATGATCCTTTCATTATAATAAGACTTCCACTTGAAGCTTTGTAACTTAGTCCTATTGAGTCTAGGGTACCTAGTGATATTAGATTCCTCTTAAGGTCAGGGATGTATCTTACATCGGTGAGAGTTTTGGTTAGGCCATTGTGAAGGCTCAACTTAATAGTACCTATGCCTTTAATGCCATATACTGCATTATTTCCCATCACAACCTTTCCACCATCTATAGTTTGAAAAGAGCTAAACCACTCCCTATTTGGTGTCATGTGGTAGGTACATCCTGTGTCTAAGATCCATTCTTCACTGTTTTTACTTTCAGAGATGACTAAAACTTCTGAACTTTCATAACCTTCAGACACAATACTAGCACTGCCCTCTTCTTCTTCTTTTCCATGTTTCTTCTTATTTTTCCTCTCAGGACGGTCCCTCCTAAGATGCCCTTCTTTGTGACAGAAGAAGCACTTCCACTTCCCAGTTTTGGACTTAGACCTATTCCTATTTTGCCCCCCTTTTTTC